ATGAGTAGATGCGATAGTGGTATCGCCATCTATACTTAGTAAGTAGAATCAAATAACATCTAGTGGATATCCACGATGGTTTGCGTTCGCGCCTAGACTTTGATATATTTAGTGGATGTTCATGGGATATTGAATACACCTTAAAAAAATTAATTTTAAATATCTGAACGGTACTATTAGCCACAATAGCGAGCACAATGGCGTAATTTTTTAATAATTTGCTATATAATTACTATTATTTATGGACATTTGCGTGTCTATAAATTACATTTCATGGATATAAAATAGATATCTACCATGGACTGGACATTCAGTGGTTATTGGGATGTTCAGTAGATATCCAAAGGATTTGGTGTGCTGTCTGGGGCGGTAGTGTCACGTTTAACGCTTTTAAAATCGTTGCATTTATTTGCAGGAATAATAATGGTGTTTGCCATAGTTTATCTTAGTATTTGCAAAGTTGTCATTTAGCAAGCGTATGTATGTAAAAACGATATGTACAAAAATGCCTGCCTATTGGTGTAAAAATAGGTGCTGCTAAAATATCAAGTCTGTTAAACTAGATAATCTACTTTGTACACATTTTAGGCGTTTTTTGTTTTGTTACAAATCATTTTATTTAGAGATTTACTATTAGAAATGTTTCTGGAAATATTGCAACATCTCTGCCCACAATGCGTCGGAGTTATGTTTTAACGGCTAGAGGTATTTTGACAAAATTTTGTACAAAAGTTACACTCTCTTAGGTTAATCAAAGCCATAATTTAATTTTAAAAAATTTCAGGACTGGACTTTTTTTTTATATTGCTCTTCTTAGCTAGAATATCATACCGTCTATCAGATTTTAATAAATATTACTGCACATTTAAATAGTACGTGGATCAATAAATAAAATAATGTAATAATATTTAATGGCGCCATCTTGATTTTCTTACAGTAAATTTTTATAATGGCGACTAAAATATTATAAATCAGTATTTACAAAATTAAAATCAAATATTTTATTCTGTATTTTTAAAACTCTACACAAATTAGGTATCATCTTCATTTATTTTTAACAAACAGACCTACCGCTCAACAGGACCATTCCGCGTATGGCGGAGCCCGGAAGGGCATCCACAGATGATCTTAACGACAATGATCCCAAGCCTTCAGAGTCAATATATTCCATAAAACCTTAGATAAAAGAGACCAGAGATATAACATACAACGGTGTTTAACATGCGCAAATGTTACCAATTTCTAAGGAAAGGTTAACGGAGTGGGGGAACTGGGCAGAGACCCGAACTCTGTGACAGGGACCGGACTTTGTTTATTAGCATCATAATGAACTATTAGATTTATTTAAAATATATGTTTAATGGAATTTTGTATTATGAAATAAAATTAACGTGATTTTTTAATATCAAACAGATGCACGACATTTTATGTAAAGAGAAGACCTTTTATAGAATATTTTGTTATCGTTTATTTACTACGGACTTTTTAGCAAGAGACTACAGTAAAATGTTGAAATAGAATATTGTTAATAGAGCAAGAAATGGTACTCATTGTATACGAGTATTATAAAAAAGCATGTGCGCAGGCGAATACTGCAAATCAAACCTTTTGAGTTGACCATTATATTTTTTCTACGGCTATTACAATTACATAATATTAAAAATTAGTCAAAATGAGAAAATGCTGTTTTGTATTGTAACCTCAGCTTCTTTCTTTAGGAATATTAATTAATATAGAGGATGAGTCAGATAAAACTCTAGAAATGCATGTCTGAAACCAGATAACATTTTAAAATTTAAACCTATTAAAACTCATTTGATCGATTATTTTCGATCAATCCATTGTTTTCAATCTATTTGTTTTACATCGTTATCAGACATACTAAATTCCACAGATTTTGACAATCTATCAAGGAATGCGTTCTTTACACCTCCTCATCCTACTGGAAACACCTCGGTCGACGCTCTAATCATGGAAATGGAAGAATCGCAGGCCACCGACGAAGGCCCAACCCTCACCTATCAAAGTGCATACATGAAATGATCGAAAAAACATGATAAATACTTTCTAAGAACAAAAAATTAAGGCAAGATAACATTTTTTGATTTTTTTTTTTTTTATTTATTTATTAGTTCGAGAAAATTTATTACTATTGTTTGGAAGTCAATGGAGGACAATTTGAACATTTGGTTTAAAAACGCAGTTTTGATTTCTTTGATTGTAAGCATGATAAAACAATTTATTTTTTTTTAAGAATGTGATTTTTTTCATACACCGTCGTAAACAGGCTTTCAAGACCTTACAAATGAAGTATCACTCAACCCCTCTTCCCTATTTAATTTTGAGGGGTTGAAGCGCCCCCTCATAAGGGGTTGCTCGTTCAAGCCTCAAAATTTTTCCAATTACTATGGGGTGGCTCGTCTGAGATGGAACACCCTGTATATTATTTGTATGGTGAACAACCAGTGAACAACTGCTTTAAGGATTTTTTTATTATTTTATAAGACATAAAAATAAAATTAAAACTCACGATGAGTTCTGATTATTCTTTTATTTTAAAAATATTTACCGTACTCTAATATGCAAAGGATAACGTTTATTTTTAATTAAAACCAATAAAAACACTTCCAGTACAAAGCAGTATTTAAACGTGAGAGACACAGAACACTTACTCTGTGAGAGAGGTTCTGCCCATGTTCTGCCACTGATATCTGTATCCCAGTATACAGTGCGTCCATAAAGTAACGCATAAATTCATTATTAGCCAAATAAACAATAATATTAGAAATTCCAGAAACAGGTTGATTTTTGATTTTATTTTACTATTTTTTCAAATTATAACTAATATACAGGACAAACCACCTTCGTATGCTGACGTCATCACCATTATTTTATTAAAATGGAACCCGGATCTCCCTTGCTGAGCTGATTCCAAAAATGTGTAACACGTTGGTACAGGGTGGGCAAAAATACAATTTTTTTTTATGAAAAGTTATACGTTACTTAATGTAATAAACAAATTAAATGGAATTACATAGTTATGCAATTAATGTGATACACTACCAAAAACAAACAAACGAAAATTTACAATAAATTGTTCTCCATTGATCGTTAGACAATTACTGAACCGAGCATTTCCTTCGTCTCTAACATTCTGTAGCATAGCAAGTGTTGTTCTGTATTTCTTGTCTAATTCGGTCTTGTAGTTGACGGATATTCCAGGTCTGTTTATGTAGACTTAAGATTTAAAATAACCCTATAAAAAGAAGTCTAATGGACTCAGATCAGATGATCTAAAGGGCCATTCCACTGGTTCTCTTCTTCCTGTCCAACGTTGTGGAAAAGTTTTGTTTAAAAAATTGCACACAGTTACTGCGAAATGTGGCGGTGCGCCATCCTATTTGAATGTCAGGAAAAAGCTGGATCAGAACAGGAGTTAATGTATTTTGTAGAAAATCCAGATATAATGCTCCTGTTAAATTTTCATCAAAAAAATATGAACCAACAATTGTATTTCTCAGAATAATAATAATAATAATGTTTATTTTACATCAATATAACATAAATATATAAACAGGAAAAATTACAATAAATAAACATGAATAATCACAGAATACCAGCACATACTTTGGTTTTTTGTTGTCTTTGTGTATGGTACTCTTGCACCCAGAGGGATTTTCATCAGACCAATAACGGGTGTTTTGCCGGTTAACATGACGTTATCAGTGAAATTGTTATTTTGGTTTATCATATACTCGCAGAATTTAGTTCTTCGGTCAAAGTCTTCTTCAGCCAATTCATGGATAAGACGTACTTTTTAAGGATGGTATTTTACCTTTTTAAAAATGTTTAATACTGAAAACTTTCTAATACCAAAATTCCTTTGCACTGTATAGTGTGGATTGTTTACTGCCGACAAAATTATGTCTTGTTGAATATTTTCATTAATTTTTGGTCTACCTTACTTTGCTGCATTTCTCACATGTTCTAATTCTCTGTATTCTCGCTCTATTCCCGTTCCTTTCTCGCTCTATTCTGCTTACCGTAGATTGTGAAATAGGTTCACGATCTGGAGGTATTTCATGGAATAATCGGCATACCTCTTGTTGAGTTCGCATCTTATCGCCAATACCAATCATCATTAATATTTCAATCCTATCACTTTCGGTTAAAGGCATTTTGTAAAAATGTTACAAATGATTGGATAGTTTTCAAGTAAACGTACCTTCTCTAAAGCGTTAACAATACAGAAGTGTACTTTAATGTTTCTTGACAGTTTTTAACGTCAAATGAAAAAGGAAGGTTCACCCTGTATATTAGATTAAAATTTGAAGAAATAGTAAATTTAAATCAGAAATCGACCTGTTTTAGGAATTTCTAATATTATTGTTTATTTAGCTAATAATAAATTTATGCGTTACTTTATGGACGCACTGTATATAGAGAGAAAGTAAAAGTTGAAAAGTCTTTTGGTAGGTAGAGAGGGGGTAAACGTCAAACCACGTCGGCCGGCTCCGAGAATTTCACAGTAATGTTTACCTGCCAGTGTCGTTTCATAGAATAAGTAATTTTAAATTGTTATCGGCGGAACCGGACAATTGCATGTATTTATGGATTATAAATAATTATTAAACATGTATTATAATATTCAAATTATAATTTTACAAAATTTCAACAGCTATTCACAATTTATTAAACTATTTACTCGAAATTGTTATTAACATCTATAAAATAATTTTGTACGCCAATGTATCGCGTCCACTTCGGGGATATCCGCTGCCAACCTGTCAATTTATGTGTATAAAGTGGGAGAACTGGCAAAAGCATTTCCAACTTTTACTTCTGTTCTACCTCTGTATTATTTTACGGTTCTGCACCATGGGTTCTGCGCACTGATCTGTATTGTTCTGCGAGACATCACAAATAGACATTTGGCAATAGCGCACTTTACAAACCGATTGACAGTTTTTGGTTGTATGTGACGATGGACAGAGGCCTTAAATTAGAATAGGAAGGAAGAAGACGAAGTGTAACGTCGAACGTCACAAATCAACAACGGACATTCTACATTATTTGAATTTTAAATTATTTTTCTGTTACCTTTTTATTCGATATTTTTTATTATTTTTTTTTGGTGTGTTATCGGCTTCAACTGCTAAGGTTATTTCGCCTCGTGTTCTGTGTAGGTTTTTAATATTTTTAAGTAGTATGAATAATACAAGCTTGTACAATACTGTGTTGTTGGAAAACGTGGAAAATAGTGATACCTCATGGAGTGATATTAAATGTGACTGGTCCACTTTTTCGTTTAAAGATGAATTAATTGCCAGAGAATGTTACATAACAGAAACAATTCAGCGAGTAAAAGAATCTGATTTACTTTCCTTAAAGGAATTTGAAGGTAGGCGTACGTTGCTTTATTATAATAACAAAGAATAAAAAAAAAGAAAGCCAATGATATTACATACTTTCCTTAAAAAGGTAAGATAATTATGGAAGAGTCAAGGTACTTGTACCTTCAGCTAAAAGTTTATTTTAGTTTATTGGAATTGTGTAATAGCGATGAGACCTAAATTGATTCAATTTGGTTTTTTGTTTAATTACTAGTTTTGCCTTCTTAGGTTAGAGGGATTTAACACATTGTGTGTCATGCCTTTTAATTAGGAAAGACTGATATTTCTGCATAGGTCACGATGACAGTCACGTTTCATTTTTTTAAGACAGGCTCCTTTATATTCACAACAATGTCATTCAGATATGAATGAAATAACTGTATTTTAAATGGAGAATCTCAATTGTGGCTCCTGCCGAACATACTACAAATTTTGGTCAAAAAAAAAAAATGGAAAGATAAAAGTTTACTGGTGGAATTACATTAAACTATGTTTTCGTTAACAGATTTATTTCTTATCAAATAATACTACAAAAAAGAGGAAAAAATGTAAAAAGAATAAAAAGTTTATTTGTGTTTCTAATAAAAACACAATAAACACATTTGGAGTTGTTTAGCACACATTTCGCAGCAGTTAATGTAGGTATAAATCATTTTGGCATGATGTTGTATTTTGTACTGAAACCATTTTTAGACTTTTTTGTGTTTACTCCTTTTTTGGTTATTATATTTGATTGTGTTCATATTTAAAAGATGTGGCTTCATGCAGAAAAAACACTATCTTTCCTGGTCACATCTGTCCTATATAAAATGCAAAAAATTCAAATATAATAACAAAAAAGGCTAAGCATAGTTTCAATGCAAAATACATATACAAATGTTGTAAAATAGCAGTTTGGCCCCCACTGTTAATTCTCTGATGACTTTCATGACATGCAATGTGTTAAAAGTTTGTAATTATAACAAAAAAATTAATTCATTATTTTCAGGCTCCAATTTTGAGGAAGACTTGGAAAAATTTACAAGAAAATATCGTGATGCGAAGAAAGAAAATTATGATATTTTGAAAAAATGTGAAGAAGCAAGAAGGACACGTGAGGAATTGATAGAAAGCTGCAAGAAGCTAGAATCAACTGGTGGAGAATTAAGTGATATAAAAAATAGTTTAGAATCAGGTATAGACATAGTATTAATTTTAAATTAATGTTAATACATAATTTAATTTTAGAAATAAGCAAGATAACTTCAGATCACAAACTTCATAAGGCAGCTTATAAAACAGCACTGCAGCACTACAATAATTTTGATTTTAATGTAGCTATTGTTGAAAGCTCAGATGATGATATATTTGTAGCCAATGTAACATTTAAATTTGCCAAACATATAGAGCCTATTAAGATTGTTGTCAATCGAAATCAAAGAAAAATAATAGGTACAGTAATTATATTGTTCTATTTAAGAAAGCATTTTTAATACGTAATTATAACATTTTCTTATATGATATTTTGATTTTTTCAGAAATAGATTCACATGGTTTGATGGATACACAAAATTTTGAAGATGTTAATTTTGATCCATTATTTTTCTGTAATTTAAGACAAAAGGTTTTAGATAGTGTTAATAGTTAATTAAAATTTCTTTTTTCATTTTTTGAATATTTTAATAAAAATCTTATTGTAAAGTTTTCTCATTTGATATATTATGTTTTGTACTTAATTATTTCTGAATATTTTAATAAAAATCTTATTGTAAAGGTGATTTGATTAAAGTTTTCTTATTTGATGTATTGTTTTTATCAAAAATCTCAAATTCAAGGGAACATTCTCAAACAGTGGCGCACCGAGAATTTTCCTCGGGGGGGGGGGGGGGGGGTTTACTCAATGCGCTGATAAATTTACAAACCCACGCAAAACGTTTTGTACAGAAGTTAATTTAAGACTTAAGAAACGCATTTCTTAATTGTGCTTAATTTATAAACTTCGAGTTATTTCAAACTTAGGCCATTTATTAATGCTGGGTTTTAGTTCAAATTATAAAGTAAGAAATTTCAGGTGGGGGTGAATATAAATACACACTCGTAAGAACAATAGAAAAAACTTTGTTCTTATAATAAAATGTCCAAACGGCGTGACTTTAGAGCCAACTGGTGTATAATACCTCTTCTTCGTCTACTGGAGTGTCCAGGTGTATAAACGTCAATGCTAATCCATTTAGTCTTTCTTCGCCAGTAGAATTTCTTAAATAGGTCTTTAGTAACTTGAGTGAAGAAAATGACCTTTCACATGTACATGTTGTCACAGGTAGAGTAGCCATAATATAGAATAGAAAAGAAACTTCTTCAAATAAAAGTTGTTTGAAATATTATTCTCTATAATTTTTGCCCTATACATAATTTTCCTAAAATGGACCGTATTCGAGAAATTTGAGGAATAGTGAAAATTTTGAACTTAACTCAAAAACGGATAAAGGAAAAACACCAAATTTTAAACTTACGCTTAAACTCACTTATTTGAATTTAACTTATCACAGTATATGGGGCCCCTACTATTTCATAGGGATGACAGTATTGCGCAATTTTTGTATAATTTAACCAACTTTCTATCTGTTACCGTTTAAGAAATGGAAATACTACCCCTATAAAATAGTAGGAACCATATGTAGTAATTCAAATACAACCCCTTAAGTATGCCCCTAGGGCAAGGAGTGAGAGCTGCTATATTTAGCGTAATCATAACAGTAAACAACACGGCATATTAAAGTCGAAGATACTCGTCTTGGCTCATGCAGACCCCTGTCATGAGTAATACATTACACTTTGTATTCTATTTTTATGGTGATGTGTATAGCAAAGATTTTTAAAAGTTGAATAAATGTTTTTATTTAAAAAAATTAAAACGACCAAACCAAAAACCCTTTTTTCACATTTCTCTCTCCGTTGATATATCTCTTGATCTCACCCGAATTCTCACTTCGCGTCCACTCCCCAGACAACACACCAAATCCCAGAGATATCCACAGAATATCTTTTGTGGATATCCAATATATCCACAGGATATCAGAAATATTCCGTGGATCTAATATGGATATCCAAATGTCTGCCTATATCCAGAATATAGAAGATATCCTATGGATTTCCAGCAAAATATCTAATGGGTATCTTCCAGACAATACAAGAAATCCCAGAGATATCCGCAGAATATATTTTGTGGATATCCAACCAAATGTCCGTCTATATCCCAGGATATAGAAGAATTCGGATATTCAGCAAAATATTTTATGGGTATCTTTAGTAGAGGCAAAGAATACCTACCCAAGAAGCGAAACTGAATGAGTTTTCGTATGTACCAATGCATGGGAACTTAATACACTGGAAAACGTATGAAAATTAATAATTTTTTGTCGTTTAGTTCATAAGTATTAAACACATACTAAAGTAACAATGGGTTCGTTCACCGTCATCAAACAGTTTCGTACTATCACGAATCGGTAAAACTCGAAACAGCTTTTTTGAAACCGTTTGTTAAAACGTAAAAGTGCAAATTAAAGTCGCTTCTACGTTTAACAATCAAAAGTATGCCAAATGGGAACTAAAGAAAGGGTTCTGTGGCAGTGTTGTTTTCGCAAGTTGAAGTAAAATGCGTTTTAACATATTTTCCCGTAAAATAATTTCAATACCTGACTCAAATTGTTTGGAATAATAAATGATCCTAGGTTAATTTAAAGTACAAACTCTATAAAGATATGTCAAATTATTTCAAATTTCAACCCGTCCTTTGTTCGTTCACCGTCATCTAAAGTGACCATATTTTGAAAATTAGAAAGTGGGATAAATCAAAAACATTGAGATTAGGAGATTTTTATCAAAGAATTCTATTTTTTGAAGTAGTGAGGGTTCATTGGAGAGCAAAAAAAACGTCACCATAATGGCTTTAAAGCGGGATAAAATTGGGACACATGTTAAATCGGGACTAGATTTAAAATCGGGACTATCCGACCTAAAACGGGACGGATGGTCACTTTACCATCATCGCAACTGTTTACACGAAGCATAGAAACGTATGATTCCCAAACAAATCATTAATCAAATGACAGTGAGCACGGCCAATGAAACAGAAAATTCTTACCTATGTAAAATAAATTATTTTATAACGAAATAAGTACTGCAGGTACAATAATGACAGTCACTACACAATAGCGTAAGCAGAAAATCTGGTCATGCAAATAAGGCATTTGAGAACATACTCTGCGGAAGAATGCAAGTATGTCTTAAAATTATAGGACAATGGTGCAAGGATCTTCACTGTATATCAATCCCAAGAAAATGGAAATGATCCTTTTCACAAGGAAAAGGATGAAAATGAAATTGAAACCTCCCGAGCTCCTAAACACAAAACAAAACTTTGCAACCATCAAGACAGAATGAAGTAGAGACGACATAAACATTGGACGCACTTCTAGTGACGAAAAAGTGTAATGAAAATGACGACTTTAGTCGTACTTTGATTTATTTGAAGTCAATCATTCTATATTTGAAGTCTGACGGAATGACAATGATTTTATATCATTTAAATGCAGGTATTTAAAAAAATGGCATTTATATTCTCACTCGAATTTGACGTAAAAATGTAATGCAAAGGTGCGGACACTTTAGCATCGTCATAGCATCTTTTCTCTTTATTCTTAAGCCTTGGTTTCTTTGAACACTTCGTCGCGGTGAGCGGACAGTCCGTCAACCGTCGCGTTTTGACGATTTTATCCAACCAGAGTATTTAAATGGGAATGGTTTTCTTGAATCCGCTTAGCTGAGCAGGACGGCGTCATGCCGCTGATTTGTCGCGAAGAGTCGGTTGATATCTGTTGAGTTTGATATCAACGGAATCGTCGGCGTGTGTGGAGACTATATTGTTATTAATTTTAAAACAATGAGTGACAAATTCACACATACAGATGACATCATGACTTTATTTTTAGGTTTCTTGGAAATTATGTCCTTTATAAAACTCAACACGAATTCAAAAAGATCTGTAGAAAGTCTAAAATACTCCCTAAATTTGATTTCATTTCCAAAAAGCCTCCGCTGCACAGTTATATTAAAGGCACCTTCTGTATCGCGACAAAAAAACAACTCATCCACTGGCTTATTGGAAACTTTGACGGTTGCAATTGCCAGTTCCTCTTGTCCTTCCTCTTCCAACAATAATAACAACGCAAACAATTTATTTGCATCCATTTTAGTACCTTTCGTTTACATTCATAATACATAAACAGCACGTACAGACATAGAGAAAGTATCATTTTCTATATTTTTTAACAAACCACCTCGGGCGAAAATTGCTGTCCTCAGCGGTCGACGGACTGTCCGCTCACCGCGACGGAGTGTTCAAAGAAACCAAGGCTTTAGAAGGAATCACAATGGACATAGTGAGGCATAAGTGCCGTGGGGTACACCACGTCACATATATAGAAGAACTGTAGATAGCTGTAAATGCATTTTCTCGGAGTGAATTTGTCATATATTGTAATTATTGTTTTGTATTATTTTTTATTTACTGATTTAATCCGAATTAATTGAAAAACAAAAAAAAATTTAAATAAAAGACATTGGGGTCTAATCTGTAAAACTTCCTTTATATTTAACGGCCTTTAAAAATATTTTCTTCTTTAATTCGGTCACTATTTAAACGGATCTTTAAAATACATTAGAGGACTATCTTAAAGTAATCTGTTTAAATAATGATAGAAGTAAATTAACGAATACAAATAATATACTTTTAAAGGCCGCCAATATTTTTAAAGGCCGTTAAATATAAAGGAATTGTTACAGAATAGACCCCTATGAATGTAAACGATGCATAATACATAGGCGTAAAACATCATTAATGTAATACTGATTTAGAAATTTGAAATATAAAACATTTACAGCCAAATGCAAGAACGGTCATTAAAATTTACGAACAATGCAAAGTATTTTTTTCAAATAACAAATATCTTAAAACTATCTAATTTCTAATTAATAGTTAAATACAACTACGTACTTTATTGCAATCTACATAAATTGACAGCTATGTTTGACGTTAAACCACCTCTAAAACACTGAGAAAACTTGGCAGTTTTTTGTCCACGAATTGCCATTTAGTTTCGCTTCTTGGGTAGGTATTCTTTGGTAGAGGTTCATAAGTAACCAATGATTATTGAATAACGTCGAAAGAAAATAGCAGAGATAAAAAATATTTTCAACACTCTGCCTTTGATTTTGCCAACTAAGGAGAAAGTTCATCCTCATTAGGACTCTTCAGCAATAAATGGACATTCTCGACTCCAGTCTCTAATGGAGTCTGATTGTGACAAATTGTGATAAAAAATTCGATCGAACTCAATTACGGCGGGTTGAGCATGAGTAGATGCGAAAGTGGTATCGCCATCTATACTTAGTAAGCAAAATCAAAAATAACATCTAATGGATATCCACGATGGTTTGCGTTCGCGCCTAGACTTTGATATATTTAGTGGATGTTCATGGGATATTGAATACACCTTAAAAAAATTAATTTTAAATATCTGAACGGTACTATTAGCCACAATGGCGTAATTTTTTAATAATTTGCTATATAATTACTATTATTTATGGACATTTGCATGCCTATAAATTACATCTCATGGATATAAAATAGATATCCACCATGGACTGGACATTAAGTGGATATTGGGATGTCCAGTAGATATCCAAAGGATTTGGTGTGCTGTCTGGGTCGGTATTCTTCGTCACGATCACCGTTATTGAACAATAATGATTTTTTTTGGATTTTGCATGTAGTAGCACATTTTTAAAAAAATGTGTGCTTTTTTATTCGTTATTTATTTCCTTCATATCCAGTTCATGCCTAATATTTACAAAATAATTTTATTCTTATCTTAATCCTTTAAAAATTCCTTCCTAGTACCTGAAAGTAAGAATTAGGAAATTCCAAGACCTATTAGATTACCTCTTAATTTGTTTTGGATTGGATTAAATGACTGATTTTACTGGTTGCATGTAGCTTAGATATTGTAAATTTCAATGTTAGTAGTTTAGTTTATATTTTAAACTTGAACAGTTACTTTTGGAGTAACAAAGTGTCAAAAGAATTATCGAGTGTAGTGAAAATGTCGATAAAATCAAATGTGTTTGCGTGGATCAAGCTATATCCAGCATTGTACATAGATTTGGGAAAAGTATTTTGCTCAACATGCAGTAAAATTGTAAGTATACATATTTTAATTACATAAAATTAATCAAAAAACTTAAAAATATGCCATTAATTAATGGAAATTCATTTAAACAAATAAAACACTTTAATATTTGAAAAATAGTTTTTGAAATAATTTTGATCCATTTCTTTTTGTTGTATTGAAATAAAAATAAATCTAGTAGGAATATTAGGTATTTTGAAAATAATTTTAAATAATATGAATTTTCTGCCATTTTTCATTCTATTCATACATTAATTTAGATCCCTAGACATTATTTTGGGCAGACTGGAGTAGAGTCCCGTTTATACCTGCTACAATGCCAAGAAGTATATGCTACAGATTTCTATTGACGAATGCCAACCTTAAGAATATTTTGTTTCAATTTTCCTTTGGTGCGTTTGTACCAATTAGAATAAAACAAACAAACACAAAAAAAAAACTATTATTTACAAAGCTTCAATTGAAGCCCACTTTATTAACACAAAAATTTGTATCCTATAATAAGACATTAATTAACTCTCTTAAAAATTACAACTATCGAGTAACTATTTATTTATTTGCTTTTTTTTAAATCAGGAATAATAAATTAAATGTTGCCGGCGAAAGTTCCCTCCTCTCTTTGGTTGTCCCACTTCTCCACCCATCCATTGGGGCACACGGAATGAAATACTTTGGAAAAATACTCGCAAGCCTTGTACTCAGGACCGCGCACCTTCTGGCACCTGTGGAAATCGATATAGCTCTGGTAGCAGTAGCGCGTCTGGTTGGTGTTGGGGAAACGGGGGTCGAATGGGGCCGTTTTGATTTGTTCACCGATGGCGGTAGGCATGATTGCTGCAAGAAAACGTTTATTTCACATTTTTCGATTAAATCAGTTAAGTCCAATCGTTTTGTTGGATATATATTTTTTACGTAGAAAGAATCAATATTGGTATTTATTTTTCCAAGAAAACATTTAATTAGGCATTTAGAAGAAAATTGGGATTAAAAAAACCATTATTGATTAATATTCTCGCGCAAAAACACCCTATATAGAATAACTTTACATTGTTACAAAGTTGCCAATCATATCCACAAGGCGAATATTTTTAAAACATTTATTTTTTCTCGTAATTCGTAGATAGTTGTTGGTTTGTATTTTTGTTGTAGTTGTCTCGTCTTTTTTGACATTTGTGGACATTTTTAAATTATCCTAAATTGCTTTCACAAAACCAAAATTCATGTTCAATGCATATAAAAGATATTACGGACACATTTAAAATATATACAGGGTGTTAGGATATTCGACCGACAATGCTCTATCACAGAGAGCTCTCGCGAATTGATGAATTTTGATATAAACTGATCAAAAAAAGTTAAGGATATTGTGAATTTTCTGAGAAAAAAATAATTTTCTAAAAAAATTGTATAACGTACATTTACTCCCATCTCTTTTAGAAATGAAACACATTTGTTTAACCAAAAAAATGCTTTAATTAGAATTTACAGGCAACTTTTCTATAATAATGTAACAAAACAGATAATTATTAAAAAGCAAAAATTACTAATAGCGTGGTTATACGATATGTAACGGTAGAAGAAGTAAATCAAGCCATTGCAGGGGCGCATGTACGGGGGGAATAATGGGAGTAATTACCCCCCAAAAATTTTGAAACCTTACTTTTTATAGGTATTAAGGGGACGTCCTTCCCCCCTAGTGAGATTTCGTAAGATTTTCCTCAACTCCCTCCCCTAATCACACGTGATTTTTCAAAATTTGTGTTTTGGATGTAAATGCGTTCTATTACTTTTATTTAAGACTAATATTTGAGAATATTGCCCTAATATAAAATATCTATAAACATTATTTACTATCACGCAATTTTACATCGTTTTCTACTATAAAAAAATTATGTCAGAAGACCCCCCTCTCCCCCAAGTGATATTTGGAAAGATTTAACTTGATCCCCTCCCCCTCTTGAACACCTCACGTAATTAATGGACGTGCCCTAAAATGTATTATTAAAAATAAAGTCTTAAATATTACCACTACCTTGAGATTTAAACTTTATTACCACTACCCCCCAGACTTAAACTCTGGATGCGCCACTGATCCATTAAGTTGCTTCTTGGAGGTGCGCGACCGATCTATGTGGCTGATCGGTATAATGATTCTCAAAGTGTAATTTCCCAACTTAATAACCGTTTTAATAGGACTGGATTTGCCATGGAAAGGCATAGGCGTAGACCAAGATAGACAAATGCTAGGGAAGTTCAAAGATTAGTGAGAGGAGCTAGGATGAATCCTACAAGATACAGCACGTTCCTCGGCCAGGACCTTTTCGCTGTCAACAGAGTTCATATTAAAGGGTGTATCTTATAGTGGTTTCCGAAGTTTTTTTTTTAATTTGACAAACAGTGAATTTTTTGTAATAAATGTTTTTTTTATTGAAATTGGATCCATTACAATTTATTTGGTCACTTTTTGAAGATTACATCGGCCAAGTGGCCACCTCCGGACGCCACACACAAATCGGCCCGTTTTTTCGGCATTTTCCATCACTTTTTGGAGTGTTTCGGGTTGGATGGCAGCGATTTCTCGGCGTATGTTGCCCTTAAGTTGTTGGAGAGTGGCTGGTTTATCAGTATAAACCTTTCCCTTCAGATATCCCCACAGAAAAAAGTCAGGTGCGGTCAAATCTGATGAATGAGCCGGTCAGTCGAAATGGCCGTATTTCGATATCAATCGATTCGGGAACATGGTACGCAATAAATCCATTGTATGGCATGTTGCGCCGTCTTGCTGGAATTTTGCCCATGTCATGTTTGTCCACCTCATTTGCCACAAAATCGCATAACATGGCCCGATATCGCTCGCCATTGACTGTTATCGTGGCGCCGTTATCGTCTTTGAAAAAGTACGGGCCGATGACCCTTTCAGCACAAACACCGCACCAAACAGTGACTTTGGGGGAATGCAACGGCTCTTCGAAGATCATTTGAGGATTTTCAATGCCACAAAAGCGGGTATTTTGCGTATTAACAACGCCACACAGCGTGAAATGTGCTTCATCGGTCATGTTCAAACAGCTCCAAAAAATCAGGTTGACCGGCAAGGATGTCCTGCATATTGCGACCGTATTGGATGCGACGCAGCCTATCAATTGGCAATAATTGTTGAGCAGTCTGCATTCTGTAAGGAAAGGCGCGCAAATTCACCCTTAACAACCGCCACATGGACATGGGGGACATGCCAAACTGCTGAGCACGGTGTCGGACCGAAACTTGTTGACCCTCCGCGACGTCGGCACTTACGGCTGCTATTGCTGCCATACTCAGTCTGGTACGCGGCTCATTCCGACGGACAGAGATTGCCAAAGTTCCTGTGGCATGAAATTTTGCAACCAAAGCACGAATAGTCTTCAGGGTAGGCGCATTCTGGCCACGATACCTCGCTCTGAAAGCGCGTTTCGTCAGCGTAACAGTTTTTTTGAAAATGAATTTTTTCAATTTCAGCACGTCGTTGTGGTGTAAGGTGGTTAATTGTTAAAATTGTACTGGACTGACATCTCTAAAACATTAACAAACATGGCGATCTGTCACCTAATTGTCAAGTTATTTGAAAAAACATCAGGTACCACTATAAGATATACCCTTTACTTCTCGGATGGTTTTAAATCAATTAAATGAAGCAGGTTTACATCGCTATAGGCATATTATAAAGGTACCATTTGGGAACGCGCGACAGACGACAGCAGAAGCGATGGCAAAGGAGACCAAAAACTATTAATTCTTTGTTACATTTTAAATAAAAACATAATGATTATCTTGAGGTTTTTTTTTATGGAGCAAACCTACAATAGTGGCTGCTTATTACGCTGCTGTTACTTCAGCAAATTTACTACAGAAAATATTCTTTGACCATTTGCTGAATAATGAGACAAACTTAATAAATTAAGAACTAAATTTGCTGCCAAGTTGACGAAAACAGTAGATTTCATGTCTAAAACGGGAGAACAGAGACAAAAACAGTGGATCTACTTAAAAACACTGATCGTTCCCTGGAATGGTTGTCGTATCGTCTGTCTCAATGCTTCTCAAATGTGTGAAGCGTAACGTAAATGTATCGGCCTCCTTTGTCGTCGCTTCTGTTGTCGTCTGTCGCGTGATCCGAAATGGTACCTTATGACGTCCCTCTTTGACCGCAGTCCACAGAGCTCAACGTTTGCTTTGATGTAATGAAAGAGCCAACTGGAATGATCAGTGGCGTACTGTGATGTTCAGCGATGAAAACCTCTTTTGTCTAGAGACCAAGAAATTCAAGAGTTAATGACCGATATGTTCAAGAAGTTCATCAATTTGGAGGTAGATGTGTAATGTTCTGCGGTGGATTTTCCTCGAAGGTAGAAAGTTGCATATTTGTAAAGGTACCATGACATGTGAAATTTATGCACACGACATTATTGATAAAATTTTGGATGATTATCGTTGGAATTTGAAGCCCAATTTCAGATTATTGGATGATAACGCTCGCCCGCATATACCCAGGATAGTACAAGAAAGGCTAGCAATCCATGAAATGAATCATTTGCCATTACCCCGCTCTCTCCATATTTAAACACCATCGAGCATAGTTGGGGCATGCTCGGAAAGGCACTAATTTCACTATCAACCTCATGTTCGGGACGGAAAGTAATACCCCCTTTTCCCACTCTGTGGGCACGTATTTTAAAGTCTAAATACCCTCGAAAGTATTAAGAAAGTTCCAAAATAACTGGTTGTCCCAGTCCTTTCCAGCTCTGCTCCCGTCACGTAGTAGTCAGATACACTCTTACGTCATTCTTTCTTTTTCTTGCAATGTAATTAGACGTAAATAATTTGCTTATCATTATTAATTATCAAAAATACATAAATGGGTAAATCAAAGAATTTTTTTACAACGGGAAGTCTACGTCCTCCAAGGATTACAAACTTGAAAACAAAATTATAAAAAGAAGCTGGATGAACAAAAACGAGTAGTTCCCATCTCGCCTACCGCCTGTCTGCCTGCCGTAATTGGACGCATAATATTTACACCTCTACCTGTAGTGAGATAATAAGTATGCTTTAATTATGTCTGTTTAGCTGTATCAATAGCATTGGTTATATACCGTTCTCTAGAGAGAGGTTTGAATAGTTAACATATTGCATATAAAATAAGGGGGGGGGGGGGGAGAAGTGAGGTGATATGAACAGGGTGAAGGGAGTTACCTCTAATTAGACAGCCTTTAACAAAAAAAAAATCGCCAGAAGGATCTACTTAACTTCCTCCTAGTAAAACCTCGTTAAATTACGGACGGTGGAATATAACTCATTTCAAAGAGTTTTAAAATGTATGAGAACTTTAGTTGGATGGCTTAACTGTAAATCGATGGATTCAAAAATAACCTTTTATATGTACCTAAAGTTTTGGAATTCTAATTAATCACAACGTCCTGCAATATATTAGCCATTGGTTGAAATTAAGCCCACATAATGGAATAAATACCGCAATATTTAATTGGCATTTTACACATCATGCCTCTACATATGCTGCTAATAAATTGGGAGTTAGTATTGACACATTAAACATACACCAGGGGCTCGATTCTCGAGTTCATTGGAAAATTTTTCCATGGGAAGATTCCACTGCTTATATTCCCATGGTAATAGGTTATGCAATTCTCGAACTTGTCGGAATAGATATTCCCATGGAAATAGTAGTTTCACGTATGTCTAACATTAAGTCCACGAATATTTCGAAACAACCAATAACATTAGAGATATTTTAAAATTTACTGTTGGCATTATTTGTATTTGTTGTGATTTTTGGGTAATCGATTACCTGCCGAGCCTCCGAGCTGGAGCAGGTGCATGGCCGTGCGGAGCAATCGCTAGCATGACCGAGGAACAAGTGAAATTATTCGATTATGTATAATTAAAACTTGTCGAGGTATTCTTAGTTTTTCTTTTTACATGTTGAAAAAAGAAAAAGTAGCTTTTGTATGGAAGAGCAATGAAAGTTTCGAGAAACTAAGAAATTCTTTCGTTAAAGGAAATAATAAAATTTTCGAAAAGGTCTTATTATTTACTACAAATTTCTCAATTTGTGTTATTGCCAGTCCCTTAGCAGCTCCCACAATTTCTGATTTAATAAAATCAGTTCATACAGTTTCTTAGTGAAAGAGAAGTAAAAATAATATACCTACATAAATAAAATAATATCAATCTATAAATACGCCAAAAAAATGTTTTAACTACAATTTCACCAAAAATCCGAGATATCCAATAATATTTGGTTATGTCTTTAATGCGCAAACTCTATTTTAATTCCCATTGGAAAACACAATTTCCAATGCTCGTAACCAGGGGAATATTTTCCCATACTTCTCATTGGAAAACATTCCACCGCTTATGTCGAGAATACGAAAACTGAATTCCCATGGGAAAATTTTATTTTCCCATGGGAATAAAAGTCGAGAATCGACCCCCTGATGGGAAAAAAACCAGTAGGTAACATTTAGTTAACAATTTCTATAAAAGACTTTTTATAAATGTTATAAATCACGATCAACATAATTTTGCCTTTGCAATTTCCATTTCGTAATGTTCGTTGTATGTACCTATTTTGAGTTCTAAGTGTGCCCTCGTGTGACCCATGCTGAGAGCATTGCCTTTTTAAATTTTATAAAATATATTACTATTA